TCTATACCTGATCATTCGGTGGATGAGCTGAAATCGTTGTTGTATGCCAAATTAATGGCATCTCAGAATCCAGATGCCGAGGATGCAGACTTGGTCGGTCTCTTACGTCAACAATTAGACGTGAACCCCTTTGTTAGAGCCTCAGAGTTTTTGGCTTTTCAAGATGTGGTTACTTCTAGTTTTTCCAAAGTTAGCAAGTTGATCACATCTAACACCCAAGATCTTAAAAGTTCAATAGATGCCCTAGCTGAACGGGTGTCTACCTTAGAAGAAACCTGTAGGTCTCAGGCCATATCTCTCAAAAGAAGGCATGACGATCAAGACGATCCAGATAGTCATGAGGGGAAGAGAAAGAGACAGAGATTGGCCGAGACTTCTGAACAAGGTGCAAGGGTTGGAGAGGAGCCATCAACTCAAGACGTTACTTCTGAAGCTTCTGACCCGAAATCAGTTCGGGAAAGAACAATTGAGGTTATTGAAGTTGTAGATGAAGGTTTGGAGACAAGTCCTACGATCGAGCCAATGGTTGAAAAGCCGGCGGACTCCACTGTAGGAACAAGGATGCTATTGGACTTGTCTGCCAACGTTGGATTCAACGAAGTGTTCTCTAAAACTCTGGGTGGAGAGCAAGACTTTGGAGAAGACATTGACAACATCGACGAATCGACTGGGATTTTTTTTTACTTTTGAAGCCGATATAGATGATGAAGATCCAGTCTTTCCTRTTCAAGAAGAACGTCAGTCTGCTCCAGAATCTTCCACTGCAGTCTTACCTGATGTGCCAGACATTCCAGCTCAAAGAGAACATGTTGATCCAACTGAAATTTTCACCAAAGACTATGTGCCATTTCATGTTAGAGCAAATTTTCCTGGATATGATCGAGCAAGGATCCGAGAGCCATATCTGGAAGATATCTACTTTGGAATCTTCATCCGRCATAGAAAAGTGCTAAGTGGCGACAAAGTTCTGGGTATTCATAAGCAGACAAAAGAATATCGTACTGAATACCGACATCTTYTGAAAGYCAARTGCMAACCAATCAGTGAAGTTCGTACAAAGCATCGGATTGTGACGATCAAACAAATAGRTGCTCAGAAGTTGTTGAGAATCTGGTATCYTGTTTTCACTRTARCAAGGCAGGATGRTCARATTTGGAGATTCAGCGAAKCAGACTTCTYGAACTTATACTTGGATGACCTTGAATATATGTATTTTGAACTCAAAAACATGACTATCAGAAAGGAAGGAGAATTGGTTGCTCTTGAAGCAATCAAGAGATTTATACGTTGTCATGTTAAACTGGCAATGGTCATTGATGTACAGATGGGCCTTGAAGACAATCAGCAAATCATCAATCTTAAAAGACCAAATCAAGACCTAGAAGACATTGAAGGCTATCCAGTGTATATGGTTCTTGAAAGCCCAGAGTTCGGGGTCGTCTATTTTGCTCAACTACAAGTAAAGAAGTTCATGAGGTTTAGCGAGCTGAATAAATATTCTAACGGTACGATCAAATTAGTGAGAAGGGCACTTGACTTAAAGAGGGTGATGAACGATAAAGCTGCTGAATCWGAACGGATGAGTTCCAAGGAAATATACTTGCTTGTCAACGCAATAAACTTGCTCGAGGAAAAGATCCAATATAGGAATGCTCTGAGAAGGCTGGAGAAAATTCTTAGACTGCGCAAGACGAAATTCACAAGAGTCCAAACTTGAATCCAAAGGGGGAGAATGTTGGGTTCAAGTTAGAGCGTTAAAGTTGTATTCAAGTTTCTCCTTAGAATAGCTTCATTATGTAATAGTGTAGTTTTACTATTTCCTAGTATAAATAGTATTTTCCTTTGTAATTGTAATTACGAAGTCATTAGCTGAATTGTAATCAAGATTAGAGCTGTAAATTTCTCTCTCTCAATCAAATCAATTTTTGATAATATTCTCTCTACTTTTATGTTCATCTTGATTCTTGAAGATTATATCATGTTTGTATGATTTCTGGACTTCACAAGGCTTTCTTCTATGGAAGAGTTCATAAGATGTCTCCTTGAATCTCTTAATGATCAGTGATCGGTTCTGAGTAAAACAAGCAGTGCTGACAGCTTCAACCTATAATTGAGTAAGGAGGCGAGATTTGTTGAGCATTGATTGAGCGGCTTCAATGATCGTTCGATTTCTCCTTTTAGCAACCCCATTTTGTTGTGAATTTTTCACAGCTGAGAAGGTGTGTGAGATTCCCTTGTTCACAAAAAAGTCATCAATATCACTCCTGAGATACTGTACTCGGTTGTTGTTCAGTACTTTTATGCGTTTGACGAACGAGATGATTTTTTCAAGTGCATCACTCTTAGATTTGAGAAATAAGACCCAAGTGTACCTGGAATACTCGTCAACAATAACGAGCTTATATTTCTTTCCAGCTATAGATTGCATGTTGACTAGAACAAATAAATCCTTGTGCAATAGTTGAAGAGGAAGGCCAGTGACAAGATCCTTTTGAGACAGCTCATTCAGCGTCTTGAAGTTGAGATGAGAAAGTTGTTTGTGCCATAGCCAGTTGATATCTGAAGAGGCTTTAGAGAGAAAACAACTATTCTGAGGTGGTTGCACCGTTGGTTAATATACCAAATCCCTTGGTATATCCTTTTTCGTTTCCTCCAAAAGTCATGGAAGGGCCTCTTTCATCTTTGTAATCAGCGAGTAGGGATTTGTCTCTAGTCATATGTCTTGAACATTCACTATCAAGATACCAGATGCTTTTGACTTCCTGCAAAAGAAAACATATTAAGATTGTTTTGGTACCCATTTCTCAATGGTCCAGCAGAGTTAGAGGCAACATCCATTGAACGCTGAAGACTTAGGGTCAGCAGGTGTCTTCACCGAGCCTGAAGAAGAGGCTTCAGTGGACTTCTTCACCTTAGTCGTTTTCACGACTTTGGTGGCTGATTTCGTCTTGGCTGATTTTTTAGCCTTAGCTACTTTTTTACCTTAGCTGGCGGACAGATTTGGTAGCTGAAGGACACTTACTGGAAATATGTGAAGTTTCACCAGTGATGACACTTCCTAAAGTTGAAAGAAGCTTTAGGTCCAGAAGGGTCATCGGGCACAAAAGAGGGATGAGCTCCGAGGATTCCTTTCTCACTTGTTCGAGGAGGAATAGCTAAGGGTTTGGATACCTTGGGTGAAAGATCCACTTTTAGCTTTGGCTTATATCTCTGAGAGGGATCAGAGACCTTAGTCCTTGAGGAAGAAGGTTTACAAGCTGAAGAAATAGATCTAGGTTTATTTAACTTGTTGGCCTTCTTGGGAAGAGCCGAAGAGGAACGCTGACAATGGCTTTACCTTTGTCTTTGCATCTTGAATTCAAGGGAGTTCCTTCAAGAAGAGTCTTAGTGTAATAGTACTGAGAGGAAGAGGTGTCAGGAATGGAAGAGACGGAAGTACCAAACTTCAGCATGGACTTGTCAGTGACACTTTCTTCCTGATCATAAGAAAATCCTAGACCACTCATTATCTTGGCAGGGATCTGAGAGTTGATGATCTTAAAGGCCTTGATAGAGGCTTTACACCACCCTTTAATGGTAGCCTTCTCATCTTTGAGTTCCGCAATAGCTTGTTTACGCTCAACGATAGCCTGCTCACATTCAATGCTTATGGTTTGGTTTACAATGACCTAATCCTTAAAATTTTCCTCAATCTTGGTCAGCTCTTTGATCTTTGAATGACATTTCTCTAATTGTTTTTGAAAATCAATATTAAGCTTTTCAGCTTTGGACTTGCTATTCCACCGTTAGTGTAATTTTTGGCTGATATAGGGATCAAATGGTATAGTTACCTTGATTATTGGGAAATTTCCATAGGATTAGAAATAGGCGTACTCGGACCTGCATTCCATCGTCAGCAAGCGGTGGCCGACAAGGCCCTTTTTGTTTATGTTATCCCATAAGACTTTTTTAAGTTTCAAGGGGGTGTCAACAGCGCCTATTTTCAAGCTTATAAAAGGACTTTCTTATCTTTTTTTTATTAGGTTGCAACTAGAAGCCGAGCCAAGCTTCCTTCAGAACAAAGGCGATTCTGTTTGGGGAATCTCATTGTTATTACTCTTTATACCTACTATTCCTCCATCACCTCGGGCATTGGGGTACTCAACACATAAACAACTTTCAGAGCCGTAAGCAGAAAATGCATCTTCTTCGCCAACACCTAAAATTGACTCATTCAAATTTCTCCAGCTTTCCGAGCCTCGAGGTAATCTCTTTCATAGAATCGGCCATGATCGACATTTGAAACATCAATTTGAATGTTAGAATAAACCAACAATATTAAGGCAATAGGGTAAACGACCAAGAATCAGATCACTTGAGAATCGTGTAAGAGATCACTTTCCGAATTAATATTTCAACCATATGCCTGGGTTACAGAAATTCAATATGGGATAAGACTCAAGAGAGCACTTTTGTTTCTAGGCACAAAAAAGAGCAAACTAGCTGGAAAGTATATAGGATTGTTCAAAACCCCGTGTCCCTAAACATAAGCATAAAAGATATTTATACTCATAAAAGAACCGAAATGATAATCATGAGTAGTGGACAGTTATAAAACTACACATTAAAAGTAGTAGACAATTACAAAAACTGCTCATTAATAGTAGTGGACAGTTACAAACTGCTCTAACCGTTCCATACATGAAGCCAGAGCCAAGACCAGCCAGAGCCCACCTGATCTCACCAACCAAAGCTTATGATCTTAACAACCAGAAGCAAGGCCAACTAGAGGTCTAACCAACTTAACAACTAGAGGCAAGGAACCAGAGCTCTGGTCTTCACAACTAGAAGTAAGGCAAATCAGAACCCGTCTGGTCAACCAGAGTAAGGCTCTGGTCCTTTTGAACACGTTTTCCACTACATTGCAAGGGGAGCAGCCCCTTAACTCCCATTGGGGTCATACTCGTCTTATAACAAGTGTGCACTCCGCACCTCCTCACTTGTATTAGAACACAATATAATACCCCTTAAAACTCGATGTTACTTCCAATTACACTTAAACGGCCTGGTGGCACTAAAATCACCAACACAATACACATTCATATAATCTTGACTACAGAATCCTTTACTAGCAAACTTTTTAAAATAATGTTATGGAATCATTATCATAACAAACAAGAAGCATAAACCATAACACAAAGAACTAAGATTGGTTTGGCATGTGGATGACACAACGCAAGCAATTTCCTGCAACCATTAAATCAAATGCTTTATTTATGTCTGTGAATGGCAGATTGTGGGTGATCAGCTCGTCGATCTTGATCTCCTGTGTGCATACACATACATACATTAACAAATTCTAATTAACCATCCATAGGGTTGGGTTCATGTGAGACCCGTGAAATTACTTTTTTACACTTGAAACTTCATAGCAATGTGAAATTTAAAAAAGTTGAACCTTCACAGCAAAAACACTGTGAAGGTTACCTTCACAGGGTTTTGCTGTGAAATTTCAAGTGTAAAAAATGGTCTCACGGGTGTCACGAAAACCAGCTGGTCTCACGTGATCCCAAGTCTCTCTCTCTCTCTCTCTCTCTCTCTCTCTCTCTCTCTCTCTCT